CCCCCCCCCCCCCAGGCCCTGGCCAGCCAGTGTGAAAACCAATCAGGCTGTTGCCCTGAGAGCAGAAGCCTTCTCCCAGCCCCCCAAGGTGCTGGCTGGAGCCCTAGACCCCCGAACATGCTGCTGGAGACGGCCAGGGAAGGCAGCCTGGCACCATACCACAGGACGTGAAGTTCTCCCGTCTCCCTTGGTAGGAGCTTCGGTAGGAGCCACTGGCAGGCATCGGGGGTCGATTTGCCACAGAGCTGAGAGGAACCAGGGACTGTGCTGTCTGTGAGTGTGAGTGAGCGTGCCGGATGTGTGAGTGTGCGGCTGTGACCGTCTGTGAGGTGTTTTGTGTGTGTGAGTGAGGGTGAGTGGATGTGTGAGCGTGTCACTGGTACAAGCGTATTTGTGACGGTGTGTGAATGTGTGTTGGCATATGTGAGCATGTAAGGGTGTGCCTGAGTGTGTACGTGTGTCACTGCCAGTGTGAGTGCGTGGGTGTAAACCCGACTATACATCTGAAGGAAAGGAAAGCATCAAGAAAATAAATGATGGGGCACCTGGGCGGCTCAGGTCACGATCTCCCGAGTTGTGAGCTGGAGCCTGCTTCAGATCCTCTGTCCTTTTCTCTCTCTGTTCCTTCCCAGCTTGTGCGTGCACTCTCTCTCACAAATAAACATTTAAGAGAAAAGAAAAGAGAAAAGAAAGAAAAGAAAAGAAATGCCAACAAGCACAAAGAGAAAATCGGAAATCCTTCAGAAACCAACCACTCGGAGGACTCCCATTGTGAACCCTGGGGCAGGTCACCGCCCCTCTCTGAGCCTCAGTTTCCCCATCTGTAACAATGGTATGACAGTACCTCGCTTAAAGGTTTGCCGTAGGGATGGAAGCAGGTAAGGTGGAGGCTCGGCCAACAGGAGTTATCGTTTGTGGTCATCTGCGTATCTGGGGTAAGGGCTGGAGTCTTGAGACCCAGGCCTCCCCACACCACGCTGAGCCAGGGAGGGAACTCTAGGACAGGGGACGAGATCTGTTGCAGGGGACACGACTTCCTCCCCCAGTCACAGGGTTGCCATCCAAGCTTCTTCCCGGGGCTTTGCGGCTCTGGACTTGGGGGGTGAACCGAGGACCAAGATGGGGGTCCCCCAGACAAGTACGTAGGAGCTACGATGGGTGTCCCCGAGGTAGGGGCGCACACTCTAAAAGAAAAACACACTCCTCTCACACAGCAGCAGTGCACAGCACAACTGGGAGCCGGTCGTGCGGGGTGTGGCCGCCAGCAGACCACACCCCGTTCCCCGCCCACACCTGTATCCCTAGGAGGAGCCACCGGAAGTCACGCCGGACGGAGCGCTTTCGAGAAAACACATCCCGGGGCCGTCAGCAGCGAATCTGGAGACCGTGGCGGAGGCTCGAGGAGTGCCGGGTAGGGACCCGGGCAGAATGCTAAACCCGAGTTCAGACGCACAGAACTGGATAGTTGGGAGAGAACGAGACCGTACCCCAGAACTCCTGTCCTCCTGGCGTTGGCCGCCTCTTCAAAAGCTCCGAGCAGAAAAGGAAGGCAGCGTTGAAGCAAAACGTCTTGCGGTTCCAAGTCCCGACTTGTCCCCGGCCTGTGAAGGTGCGGCTCAGTTTGCCTATCTGTAAAGTGGGGTGATTAATCCCCACGTCGTGGATGGGGGAACTGTGAGGCGGAACGAGAAGACCACACGCTCTGTCCGCCGAGGCTGCTCGCCCCAGTCCGGCCCCGGAGCGTCTTTCCCCATTGCAGACCCGTTTTCTGGGGCGGAGTCTTCGTCCTCTTCTGCACTTGCGAACTCAGAACGGACCCTTGCCTCCCGTTCCACCGCCGCGTCCCCACCCCCGTCGGGGGCGTGCCGGAAGTGCCCCTACGGAACCCTGCGGGGCGACGCTCGCCTCTTCACCATGGCGACGGCTGGGGTCCCGAGGCGCTTCTGCCGCTGCGCCTGCTTCTGCTCGGAGAACTTGTACGTGGCGCGCTACCGGCTCCACGTGCGCTTCCGGGGCGAGGAGCAGCTTCGCCGGGACTACGGCCCGGTGAGTGGCCCCCAGTGGCTCTGCGGAGAAATGGGCGGGGCGGGGTGATGGGGGAGGGGTGGCGGAGGAGGGACCTCTGTCCCCCAGGTCTTGTGCTTTGCCCGGGTGTTCAGATGTGACAACAAGAATGACTTAATCTCTGGGTGCCTCGCTTTCTTCACCTTAAAGGGGGATAATAATGTCTCTTTAGTGAGGTTGTCGTAAGGAATGAATGAATGAATGAATGAATGAATGGAACATACAGGTAAAGTGCTGAGGGCAGGGCCAGGCTCGGCGCGCTCTCGGTGTTGTCTGTTTTGCGTGCTTATCGAATTTCATCCTCACAATGATCCTGTGAGGTCCAGGCTCTCGTATGCATCTTAACCTGGGGAAACTGAGGCTCAGAGGCGTTAAGTGACTTACTCACAAGGTCACACAGTTGAGCTCCCTGGACTTTCTGCTCTCAGATCCTGCGCAGCCGAGGATGTGTCAGCCCCCAAGACTTCCAGCAGCTATTAGCAGAGGTAACGCTCCCCACCCTCGCGGACCCCCTCCACACCCAGCCTAGCCCTTCCTCTTTAGGTTGTGTCAGCAGTTTGGGGGGGGGGGTGTCCTTCCCGTGTCCACTCGCCGCAGTATCTGTGTCCTGACACCAGAAAAAGAGAAAGTGGCAAATGCCAGGTCGTCTACCCCACGCCCTCCCCAGACGAGACACTTTTGCTTAAAGAGGGAATTACTGGCCCGAAGTGTCACAGCAGGTGGAGTTGAGATCCCACCCGGGACCGCCCGGCTCTGGCTCCCAGCTCTTCGTCTGTCCACCCACCCCCTTTGGCTGGTGCCAGGGCTGCTCCATCTTCCACCTCTTCCTCCATCTGAGGGTTAGTAATGGGAAACTTCCTAGGCGAGCCCTCCGCAGCCTCTGGAACACAGTACTGGCTGGGATTCCATTCCCCTCCCTCGGGGGCCCAGCTGGCTGAGGTATGGGGAGGGGCTCTCATCCTTGCCAGGCCCTGAGTGGTGCAACCCCGAGCGGCATGGGCCCCTACTAGAAGGAGTTGCGTTCAGCCAGCAGCTTGGCACCTGCAGTTTACCCTGATCGAGTCAGGCGTGTAGGGAGACTGGGCTGTCAGCCCAGGTCCTGCTCTGGCCTTCCTGAGCCTCAGTTTCCTCATCTGTACAATGACCTTGGGGGGTGATGGGCGGCCCCATCTGGATGACCAGGCCCTGTGCCATCCCCAGCTCGAGAAGGAGGTGGAACGGCGGCAGCGGCTGGGGCAGGAGGCGGCTGCCAGGAAAGCCCTCATCGCAAGCTCCTACCACCCGGTGCGGCCTCACATCTACAACACGCTGCAGGTACCTGGTCGGGGCAGGTTACTGGAAGGAGGTGGAGGCAGCCGGCACCGGAAGCTGTCTGCCCCACAGCCGGTGTGTTTTGCCCCCAGGATGAGGCCCTGGCCCCTGAGTTTTTGGCCGCAGCTGAATACAGCACATCGCCGGGTGCAGACCTTGAAGGCCTTCTCCAGCGGCTGGAGACAGTGTCTGGTGAGACCTTGGCCCCATCACCCAGTAGGACTAGGACTAAGGGGTGGGGTCCCTCCACCTACCATGTCTGCCTCCAGAATCTAAGCCAGCAGGAGCTAGAAGGGCTGGTGGGACCCGCTGGGAGCAGGGCATCTGTATTCACTTACTCACTTGCCCACCTGCCTGTGTCACGTATGAGCCAGCTGGCACACTCGAATGGGGGTGACTGAAGAACTTAACGAAGGGACAGCTGACACAGGACCACCCCCCTCCCCCCTCTCCCTGGGGGTGAGGGGGGTGGGGAGCAGACAGTTCCTTATCCCTAGACCTGGACAAGTGGGCAAGAGTGAGCGTCTTGAGCCCGCCACGACCTGGAGCTGTGGGAGAGGGGCGGGAAGCAGCTGCCAGGAAGCAGCTGTGGCCTCGAGCAGAAGCACAAAGCCATGCCAAACTCAGAAATGCCGCATCTCTCCGGCCTTTGAGTCTCCTGCTGGGATCTCCCATGGGCTAACCCTAGCAGGGAGTCTGGCCCTTCCGAGTTCCTTAAGTCCTCTGCCTCAGTTTCATCATCTGTGAAACGGGAGCAATGGTAATACCCATCTGCTAAAGTGTGATTAAGTGAGGTGACATGCCTAAAGGGCTGGGTGCATAGCATCTAGAGGTTTCCTCAGTCTTATGGTTACGGTTATTCCTAGGCCTAGGGGATACTTTGGGGGGATAGGTGCAAGGTGTTGCTCCCCTTAACAAGCCCGTGCTCTGTTGTGAGGCACAGGGTGGAGTGTGAATGAAACATGCCCTCCCAGCCCAGGGGCATCCCTCCTCATTCCCATCCACTCCCCAACAGCGGAGATCGTGTAACGGTTGTCTGGGTGAAGGCTGTCGGCTGTGAGTTGGCCAAAAGTGTGGGGGCACACCAGCCGTGCACCCCAGGGTGTTGGTGCATCTGCCAAGAAATGTTTGCATTTCCGCTCGCAGCCTGGCCTCTCCCTACCAGGACCCGGCAAGAGAGAGCAGCCCCCCTCAGCCTTCCTGTGTGGGGAACAGAGGCTCCAGGAGGCACTTCAGTTGGGGTTCAAGTGTTGGTGGCTCATGGGGTGGGGTGCAGAGAAAGCTTGGCGCTGGCCCTGTGATCCCTGCTGGGCTCCATCACTGGCCTGCTGGGGGTCATTGGGCTAATCCCTTCCCACCTCTGGGTCTCAGCAGAACCCACATCTGAGTCTGGTGGCTAGGCTGTGGACACCTGCGGCAGCAGGAGGAGAGGCTCCAGGGACAAATAAGGGGACCCGAGAATAGGCCCCTCTGCTGCCCACACATTATGTCATTAATGGTCACAACAGCCCTGAGAAGTGAGTACCTGTGTTATCCCCATTGTACAGATGAGGAAACTGAGGCTGAGGGAAGTGAAAAGACGTGCCCAGGCTCACAGCTCGCAAGGAGACTGAAACCCACACGGAAGCTCCCAGCCAACAGACTGTCCCTCCTTCCGCAGGGGAGAAGCGTATCTACCGGCTGCCGGTCTTTACAGCGCCATTCTGCCAGGCCCTGCTGGAGGAGCTGGAGCACTTCGAGCACTCGGACATGCCCAAGGGAAGACCCAACACCATGAACAACTATGGGGTAGGTGAGGCTCCCTCCGGGGGGCCTGAGGCAGCAGGGAGCCGGGGCTGGGGAGCCGTAGCTGCAGTGCGAGAGAAGAGCTGTTGGGTCCCATTGGTCTTGGTCTCCCAGTCTGTAAGATGAGGTCATGGTTGGGTTATTTTGAAGTTAAGCCCATTGATATCTGCAAAGCGCTGCTGTCCTTAGGAAGAGACTCCCCGCAGGGACCCAGGGTGAGGCCCCCACCAGTTTCCCTGCTGACTCCCAGGATCCCCCTCCCAGGTGTTGCTGCACGAGCTAGGCCTGGATGAGCCGCTGGTGACTCCGCTGCGGGAACGCTTCCTGCAGCCACTGATGGCCCTGCTGTACCCAGACTGCGGTGGGGGCTGGCTCGACAGCCACCGTGCCTTTGTGGTCAAATATGCACCGGGCCAGGACCGTGAACTAGGCTGCCACTATGATAATGCCGAACTCACCCTCAACGTGGCCCTTGGCAAGGCCTTCACGGGGGGCGCCCTGTACTTCGGGGACCTCTTCCAGGTTAGTGTGTGTGACCCGGGGGGCAGGGCCTGGGGCAGCCAGGAGTGCCCAGGCCTGAGCTCCGCTGTCTGCAGGCACCTTCAGCCCTGGCCAGGCCCCTGGAGGTGGAACACGTGGTGGGCCAGGGCATCCTGCACCGGGGTGGCCAGCTGCACGGGGCCCGGCCCCTAGGCACTGGCGAGCGCTGGAACCTTGTCGTCTGGCTCCGGGCCTCTGCTGTGCGCAACCGCCTGTGCCCCATGTGCTGCCGGAAACCTGAGCTGGTGGACGACGATGGCTTCGGCGATGGCTTCACTCGCGAGGAGCCCACCATGGTGGATGTGTGCGCACTGACCTGAGTCTGGGTGGGGCCAGTGTCGGGGTGGCATGGCAGGGCTCTGCCACCTTGGGTTGGGCAGGGCAAGAATAAACTCCCTGCAGCCCTCAGGCACTTCTTGGTTCAAAAGGACACACAAGCCTCGGAGTCATTCTTTCAGCAGACAGGTTGGTTTAGGTCAGGTGTGTTAGAACCAGAGCCTGAGATGAGGATTCCTGTGCAGGTGGTTTGTTGAGGGAATACCTTCTGGAGAAGGGCGTGAGGGAAGGACAGGACAGGAAGGAGCTGGGCCAAGATGTGGTTTCAGAGAGCACCTAGCTTCAGCCCAATCCCTCCAAGTGCTCTAGAGCATGAATGTAGCAGTTTGCCCCCTGCATCGGTTATTGGCTCACAGGTGTGTCAAGGCCGGGCTGGCGGGGTGGTTGGGGAGGTGGTGGTTCCCAGTGGCCCAGGGAACCTTCCAGAGAAGAGTACAGGTATGAGTTAGGAGACACCACAGCCTGGGTGAGTGCATCTGTCTATGAAGGGGATCTGGGTGAGCCATCGATAGCAACTTCTAGTTGGTGTCGGGTGCTTTCCACAGAGGGGTTAAGAGCAGGGGCTCTGGAGCCAGACTGCCGGGGTTCAAATTCTGATCCTGCTGCTTCCAGCTGTGTGGCTGCAAGTAAGCCCCTTGACCTCTTTGTGCTTTAGTTTTCCTTATCTGGGAAGTACCTATCTCCGAAAGCTGTTGTGAGAGTGAAACGATTTAATGTATATAAAGTGCTTTATAACAGCCCTCTATGTTTGCTGTTGTTCTTGAAAAACTTGCAACTTGGCCGCCCCCAAGTTGGATGAAGAGTGCAGCTGTGATGGGTTTGGGCTGTACACCTGAAAACCCAGGGGTTCCCATATCGAAATCTTGAGTTCCGGCCTCGCGGGGAAGGTGGGAAGGTCTGGAACACCAGGCCCCAGCCCACGCTGGAGAAATCAGCTGGAGCAGAGCCTCCGCTGCTGCTCACGCTGGACAGGCTTGTGGCGCATTCCCTCACAGGGGTCCCTTCCTGGCTCACTGTCATGATCTCTCCGGCCCCTATGGCTATTTGTTCGCGACCTCTATTACCAGGTGGGGACGCTGGAATGACTAAGGTGTCCCCCGGCCTGCCAGGGTGGACAGGACGGCAGGCATCTCAAGGAGGAAAGAGGCGCACGGTCGGGTCGCCTCCTTCCCTGGGTCTTCAGGGAGGCTGGAGAAGGGCGGTCTGAGAAGAGCGGGGAGCACGGCCGAAGCCTGGATCCCCTGCTTCCCTCTTCCGGAGGGGGGCGAGCCACACCGTTTCTCCCGCAGCCCTGGAAGCGGAACCTGGGGCTTCGGGACTAAAGGAGGCAGCGCCTCGCTTCCCAGCCGGACGGCCTCTGGGAGCACTGCCCAGGCCGGAAGTCGCCTCGCCGCCGCTTCCTCACGCGAAGGCGTGGCGCGGGTCGGGTGGTCCCGCCCGATGGGCGGTTGAGGAAGGAACAGAGCAGCTGCGGGGACCTTCCCCAAAGCTGCGAGGCGGCGGAGGCCGCGCGGGTGGAGGACGGGGGAGCGCGGGGAGGGATTCGGGACGCACCTGGCAGCCGGGGACCGCGGCCACTCCTAGGGGCGCCAGAGCGCCGGTGCGCAGGCGTGGAGCGGCCGGGCGGGGGCGAGCCCTTAAAGGGGTAGAGGATCCGGGAGTCGGCGCAGGACCTGAGGTCCCCGGGGGTCGGGGTGGGTGAGGATCGTGCGGTGGCCGCGGACCCCCTCAAGTCCCTGCCCCGGGTGGTGATGGGTAGTGGGCCCTCGAGAGCCAGGCCCCGAGAAGAGTCGCCCGTGTAGCCCAGTCTGGGGATCGGCTCTGTGAGCCTCAGTTTGAGCGTGTCTCCCCGTCTCCAGCCCGCGGCGCTATGGCTCACGTCAGCTCTCGCAAGCGCTCGAGGAGTCGAAGCCGGTCCCGGGGGCGAGGGTCCGAAAAGAGAAGGAAGAAGAGCAGTAAGGATGTCCCGAAGAGCTGCTCGGCTTCTAGATCCCAAGACCACAAGGCCAGCACCATCTCCTCTGGGGCGGAGGGTGAGGACCGGAGGGAATGGGAAAGGGGTGTGGGAACTTCAGGGAGGAAGCTGCGGGCAGGCCCCGGGCAGGCGTCCCTGCATGGCTGTGAGCAGTGGTCAGAGGAGTGCAGAATGTAGGACCTCCGTATCCCGATCGAAAGACCTTCAGATTCTAGGGGCTGGGCCAGCCCGTTGTGTAAGGATTGAAGGGAGCACGTAATGGTGCTTTTTGAGCAGCAGGATTTGAGATAGGGGCCTGGCTGCCCTGCTCCTGGTCAAACAGTGACAGGGTGAAGCCCAGAAAGTGCCTCTCCAGGGAGTGCTGATCCCTGCTCTGGCTGGAAAGCCCGGCCTGGAGGGTCTCACCCCTCAGTAGTCCCCCTAAGCCTGCCACAGGCCAGAGCCAGGGGATAAAGGTTTACCTCTTCCCCTCCTGGCCTTCCAGCCTCACCTTCTCCCTGCATCACAGAGAGAAGCAAGCACAAGGCCCGGAGGAGACCACGGTCCAGCTCCTCCTCCTCTTCTTCCAGTTCTTCTAGCTCTTCTTCCTCTTCGTCCTCCTCCTCTTCCTCCAGTGGTGGCCGGAAGAAGCGGGGGAAGCACAAGGACAAGAAGAGGAGGAAGAAGAAGAAGAAGAAGAAAAGGAAGAAGAAGCTGAAGAAGAAAGGCAAGGAGAAGACAAAGGTACAGCAGGGGGAGGCTCTGCCGGGACCCTCGCTGGACCAGTGGCACCGATCAGCCGAGGAGGAAGAGGACGGCCCAGGTATGGTGCCTCCCAGTGTGCAGGAGGGGAAGGGCCCCCTCCCTGAGACCCAGCTGCCGACTCCCTGCCAACTCCCCTCGCAGTCCTGACGGATGAACAGAAGTCCCGCATCCAGGCCATGAAGCCCATGACCAAGGAGGAGTGGGATGCTCGGCAGAGTGTCATCCGCAAGGTGGTGGACCCGGAGACAGGACGCACCAGGTGGGAGCGCTTGGCAAAGCTCAGCCCCACACGCTCTGCACTCTCAGGAGGAGGAGCGACGGCTGCTGCGCTAAAAAGCCAAAGACAGGAGAAGGGCAGTTAACTCATTTCTGGGAGTTTTTAGGCTGTTCCTCCCTGTTGCCCAGAGCAAGCACTTACAGGGGCTGGAAGGGCCTTGAGGAATGTCTTCAAAGAGCCAGTTGGCCGGTCTGGTGGCAGACCCTACCCAGCTGCCTTTATCACTATCCCAAGGGTGGGAGAGAGGGAGAGGTGGAAGCATCTTATGTTCCACCCGCTCAGGGTAGCAGGGGCGTGCGCCCTGGCATCTCTTTGCCAGGTGGGTCTGGTTCTGTTGCTCTGGCATAAGAGGCTCAACCTCCTCTCCCCTCCTCCCCCAGGCTCATTAAGGGAGATGGCGAGGTCTTAGAGGAAATCGTAACTAAGGAACGACACCGAGAGATCAACAAGGTTTGTGTCACCCCTTTGCCCGGGGTCCACGCCCAGCTCTGTTTCTGATGGGTCTCCTCCCATGCGCTTTCTTCTCCAGCAAGCTACCCGCGGGGATGGCCTGGCTTTCCAGATGCGAGCAGGGCTGTTGCCCTGAGGGCCCTGCTGGCTAAGTGCTGGTGGTGTGGCCTGGAGACTGGCTTCAGAGTGGGCAGCAGGAAGCCCAGTGGGTGCTGTTTGCCTTTCCTCCTGCGGACTGGCCTCTGGCCCAGCCTCCTCTCAGATGCAGGGGGTGAGGACGGGGTCACTGGCCTCATCAGCTCCTCCTTGCAAGAGCATCACTTCCCAAATATTAAATGTTCCCTGGTTGGAAACTTTGTTAGGTCGGCTTTTTGTGCTGAAGGGAGGGAAGGTTGCTACCCAACTTCCAGAGGACAAAGGAGGCCTATAGGACTTTTGGGGGGAAGGTGGGGTGTACCCTGACGTTCGTGAAGACCAGCCACCTTTGCTCTGCTCATCCTCCGGTCTGCCTGCTTAGACCAGACCCTGACCCTGACCCTCAGCTGAATCCCAAACCCAGAGACGTGGCTTTTAAACCCCATCCCCTCAGATTTGGAGGGAGGCTGCTTCCTGCACTGTTTATTCTGCAGATGACAACCGCGCAGAGTCCTGGTGCTGGGGCCGGGCCGCCGGGGTGGGAATCCTGGCCCACGTTACTAGCTGTGACCTCTGTAGAGCAGAGAGGCTTTCAGCATCCACCTGGCTGGGCTGCTGTGAGGATGAACCGAGTTCATGCCCAGGAAGGGGCTGGGAGGAGGCCCGGTGCAGGGGAAGGCTGGCATAAGCGTACTGGTGTTACAGTCAGCATAGCAGGCACTGTTGATTGGGAAGGACATCCTCTCCCCACCACAGCTTTAGCTCTGGGACAGGCCGTGCCCCCACCCCAGATCCCCTCCCCACCCTGTGCTCTGTGGTTGCTGGTGCAGTAAAGAGACCCAGAAGGAAGCCTTCCTGCTTCTTTAATTGGTGTAACAGACAACGACACTGTATACAGAGCACACTCAGGCCCAAAGGTGCAGGGAAAGCAAGGGCGGATGGGGCGAGTCAGGACACGGCTCACACATGGCCCAGACAGAGAGACAGGAGGGGCCGAGACGAGAAAACTAACGAGGTGGGGTGGGGGGGCGTGGGGAGTGGGGTGGTGGAGGGGCAGCTCATAAAGAGCTGGGAAAGTTGGGGGTGGGGTCTCTGCTGAATCCGTCTTTAGAAATCAAAGAGAAGGCAGGCGGTTGGATCTGGGGTGGTGGGCGGAGGCTCAGTGTGGGGTTGGGAGTGGGACTAAGGCTTCTACTCTAACAGGCCTGGGGTGGGGGTGGCAGTCAGCAAGGCCTGCCTCACCCTTTGGTTGCGACTGGTCAGGCCTGAGCCCTGCAGCTCAGCACCCAACACTGTAAACATTTTTGGTATTTTTAAAGGACTCTGCCCTCCCTCTCTTAGTTTCTGAAAAACTGGTGCTTCCTTAAGAGGAGAATGTGCCAAAAGGAATCTTAAGGGAGGCAGGAAGCAGACCTGGATACAGAAGAGAGATGTCAACGGGGAGGGGGGGCTGCCCATCTCACCATCTATGGCTAAGGGCCACTGGGAGAGGCCCAGGGGACTATTGCTGTTGTCCTTGGCATGGCTGGCGGCTGGGCAGGCAGGCGGGGAGTGCGGAGCCTGGGGGAGCTGCCCCCTGGGAGAGGCCGAGCCCACTGCCCACATGGCCTCCCCGGGCCAGGAGGCCTCCCAGCCTGTATTGCAGGGGGGCCCAAGGCTCTTCCAGGTGCTTCTCCAGATGGCTGGTCACCGAGGCAGTAGGCAAGATGGGGTGAGGTGGGACCGACAGAGAAGGAGGCACTGGCCACAGGGGCCCCTCGCTGGGGCTGTGATTGTCGGGCCAAGCGATTTCCCGCCGGGGAGCAGAGTGGGGGTCAGATATTGCACTTTCATTGCAACACTTACATTAAAACTTGGTCCATAAAATAATCGTTGCTTTATACAGAACGCCTGAAACAAAAACAAAAAGCTACATCTTAAATATGAACAAACCCTGAAGGTCCTATTCCTCCAGAAATTTTTCTCTGCGCAAAATAAATAGCTTTCACTCTGTATAGACCCACTTTTGCAGAACATTTACACAACCCTTTGGCTGTACATATCTACACACGGGAAAATGTGAACATCAATCTGCGTGCCTCCCCATCCCAGCCTATGAGGCCCTGAGGCCGTATCCAGGTTGGCAGCAGCTTCTCAGAGTGGGAGCCTGGCCAGGCAGGCTCCCCCGCCTTGTAGAAGAAGGTAGAGGAGCAGTCGAAGGGCCGCCCAGAGCCGAGCGCCATAGCTGAGATCGTGGTCGGTTCTGGGGAGGGAGGGCTGATGCTCAGACCCAGCGTGCAGGACATCGTGGTCCTTGACAGGTGGGGAATGAAGTCGTGGCTGCCCGCCCTTAAGCTAACGAAGCAAATTGTGGCTTCTTAGATTCGGCATCAAAACGGAATTGGCATTAAAAAAACTTAAGTGTGTGCCCATTCACCCCAGAGTAGAAATTCAGTGGAATTAATGGGGGTCAGGTGAGGCAGGGACCCCACACCTCACTGCGTGGGCAGGGGGCAGGGCCCCGGGACCCAGAACCAGGCTGGACTCCATCACAGTGCTGGGTGTTTTCATGTGGAGGGGCTGCGCTTGGTACTGAAAGAGTTAAGAAAAGGAAGCAGCCAAGGATTGCTCATTTAAAAAAACCTCATAGAAATCAGATTGGATAAGTAGAAAGGTGTAGAAACGCAGGAGAGCCGAGGCACATGGCCTTGACTGATGGCAGGCGAGGAGTGGAAGAGGAGGCCGGGCCTGGCCAGGCCCAGGAGCCCGAGGCGTGGCTTCTCGGGAGCCGGCTCTGGGCCTCACCAGCCTCACTGCCAGACTGGGTTCCAGGTGGGGCAGGTGGACAGATGGGTAGGGATCCAGGGCTGCCACAGCGTTGGCGGGCCAGGCGGAGCTGCAGAAATTAAGATATGGCCTTTCTCTTCCTGCTTGCACAAGGATTTGCCACCCTGGAGCCTTCTGTGTGGCAATAGGTCCCAGATGAGCAAACGTTGGGTTTTCATGCATGTCCACGAGTCTGTAGCCACAGGAGACGGTAATAGATCTCCACTCTCAAAAATCAGTGCAAGACCAGTGAGGTTGAACAGTTGAGTAACTAGAGTTAACAAGAAGCAGGCTGTCCCCCATCGGAGTTGCTACCAAGTGGGAGGGGACCTGGGGGTCAGGGTGAGCTAGTGGATGGGAGGTGGCAGGCGGGGCCTGGGCCCAGGATGCTGGGAGGTCAATGCAGGGCAAGTGTCTGGGAGTGCCTTTCGGGCCAGTCCACGTGGGGAGTCCTGGTCCCTCTGTCATCCTGGGACAGGTTTTCCTGCAAGCTGGAACCCCTCAGACCCTAGGACATGAGGCAGGGCTGGGAGGGCTGTGTGGCACGGCCTATGTCCTCCGCCAGGCCCTGGGACAAGCTTGTCTCCAGCCGACATTGTGTGCCCAGGCCAGGCCTCCTGGCGGGGCTGGCCGCCCTGGCCTAGCACCACGGAGACCACAAGGCCTCGCTAACGGTGTCCTACTTGGGGCCCGCGGCTGCCCCTGGCTCAAGCCGGCCGGCCATGGTGCGGCCCCAACAGCCGGCCGCTACGCTCATGCTGCGTTGTCCCCGCTGCTCGACGTCCGCCTGGTTCTGTGTCCGCTCCTGCCGGTGGCCGGGCCCGCTGGGCTGGGCCGAGATGGTGCGGAGCAGGTGGTTCCGGGAGCGCAGGAAGTCACCCTGGCCTGGCAGGCCAAAGCTGCCTTTTCGCAGTGCCATGCGGGTGGCCGCATTGCGGGCTGGCCGCGCCCGGTGGTTGTACTTGAGCTGGGCGAGGTGCGCCGCGTAGCCGTCCGTGATGAACTGCAGAGGAGGGCGGTGAGGAAGACGGCCGTCACGGGGTGGGCTGTCGGGGCCGCCCGCCCCCGCTGCCCACCACGACTTGCCCACCCACCTGGCACTGCTGCTGCAGCTTCTTGGTGGGCCGGCCGACGATGTAGATCTGCATGGGGGACAGGCTGATGGAGCTGTAGACCGCCACGTCCTTGGTGGAGCCGTAGGCCGCGTGCACGCGCAGGTGCAGCTGTGGGCGAGACGTGTGGGCGTGGCCCGGCTCTCCCACCCAGCCCCGCCCCGCCCCGCCCCCGCCCCGTCCCTGCGGCCTGGGACCTACCTCGGAGATGAGCAGCTTCAGGAAGTTGGCCTTGTGCCTCAGCGGGTCGTGCACCAGGCCGTCACAGAAGGACACCACGCCGTGGGGGAAGTTGTGCTGGGCCAGCCACGCCACCACCCGCTGCTTCTGCATGTCAGGCCGGCCAGTCACGTAGATGATGAGGTAGCCCAGGTCCTGCCAGTGCCTGGCGACGAGGGGCAGGACTGGGTGTCCCACGGCCGCCAGGTCTTCCCTCCCGGGCCACCCTGCCTCCTTGCCCAGCCGCAGGACACTGCATCTCTGGGCTCAGCAGAAATAGTAACAGCCACGAGGACGGTCACACAGGTCACACGGTCTGACGCCCTCTGTGGCAAGTACAACCGGTCTTGTCGGGAGCCCCACTTCTCAGGTGAGGAACTGAGACATCAACATTAAGAGGCCACCCGGCGAGCTGCTGGTGGTGCTGACTCCATGAGCCCGTGCTCTGGTGCCCAGAGCCCTCCCCAACTTGGCCTCCAGGAGCTTCCTGCCCCTGAGCCCACCCACCGTGCCCTTGGGCGTCACTCACCGCACCACGTCCACGGCCCCGGCCCGCACTTTTGGGTCGCTGCCCATGATGGACACGCTGGCAGCAAAGGAGCCATCGATACTGAAGACCACGAACTCCGTGCCCTTGGGCAGCACGGTGATGTAGCTGTCGGCAAACGTGTGGTCTCCCCTGGGAGGGGGAGCTCATCAGAACCCACCAGACCCTCTTCTTCCTGCCCCAGAGGTGGCCGGCCTGGCCTGCTCGCCCCCCAGAGGCACGTACCTGACCACCATCTTGATGGGGTAGACACCCACACCCAGGCGGTGGGTCTCTGGGATGGTGTAGGAGACCCGCCCGCTGCTGTTGGTCACCAGCGTGTCTAGGTACAGCCACTCGCCCGAGGGCGGCTGCATCATGATGTGCACATCCACCTGGGGGCCGGGCAGGCTGGTCACGAAGGGGCTGGGCCCCTGGCCTCCCCAGCCAGAGGGAGGCAAGGGTAGGGGCTCCCGCAACCTCGCCACGTCCTTACCTTCTCCCCAGTCAGGGTGACCATGTCCAGGGGCCCATACATGAACCGGCCCGTCAGAACCTGCGGGCCGTCCTCGTTGGCGACTGCGTCATTGATCCGGTGGTTGGCGGTCACGTTCTGGGGACGGGAGGAGCGAGGCTGGGTCAGGGTAGGGGATGGAGGGGTGGCTGGGATCTCCTGGGCCTGGTGGGTGGGCACGGACTTAAAGCAAGATGGCCCAGGTTCAAGTCCAGCTCAGCCACCTGCCCTACACGGCCTTGGCACATCCCTGTCTATAAATGGGGCAACAGCTCCAACCTCACGGACTGAGGATTAAGTAACACAGCACGCTCCTCTGCGACTTGGTTTCCTCATCTGTGATATGGTGTCTTCTTTCGAGGATTTAACAGGACAACAGCCTCGGGGCCTGGACCCCCCAGAGGCCTCCTCACCCGCAGCTTCACGTGGGTCCTCTTGCGCTGCCACTTCTCTCTCGGCTTGGAGGGGGTGAACACGGAAACCTCTTTGCCGTCCAGCTCCAAGATGCTGGAATTGTCATGCCTCATGACCTGGGAGGGAAGAAGGAGGCCATGGGGCAGACTCAGGAACCAGAAACGCAGGAGCCTGTGAGGGGCCGGGGGGGCACTATTCAACCCACTACAGTCTGCCTCCTGGTCCTCCCCAGATTCACATGTCCCATGAATGTGCAGTAACAGCCACCCCATCCCCGTGTCTGCGAGGGTTCCTCCATCCTGCTTGCTCTGGGGTCTGATGGGAGCACACCCCCCCCCCCC